GTGGGAGTCCAGCGACATAGCCATTACGCTAACTGCTGGTCCCACTATATACATTTTTTTTTAACAGAGAACTTTATATCTTTTTTTGCCTGTAAAATGTTTCTTTCTCACTCCTACCCTCTACCACCCGCTCACTACCATTCACTCCCCTCCCTCATAGTCTCTGAGTTTCTGGTATCTACCCTTAACCTACTTTAGATCATTCAATTTCTGCCATAAAGTACAGCTATTCGGTACAAAATAAGTGGGGATATACAGTGTGTATCTTTCAAAGTCTGGCTCACTTTGCTCAACCTTAAATCTTTTTCATCTACTTTGTATCAAACAAGAGTCTTAGTTTCTTATAGCAGAGTAATATTCCATCGTATACATGTGCCATAGTTTTTCAACCTAGTCATCAATTTTTGGATACTTAGATTGGTTCTGTGTTTTAGCAGTTGTGAATAATGCTGCCATAAATGTGGATGTGCAAGTGACTTCCTATCTTTTGGGCAAATACCAAGGAGTGGGATTACCAGGTCATGTGGTAGTTCTATTTGTAGGTGTTTGAAGAACCTCCATGTTGTTTTCCACAGACATTGTGCTAATTTACATTCCTACTAACAGTGTAAGAGGGTCCCTTTTTCACCACATCCTCTCCAGCACTTGCCATTCTTAATTTTTTTAATCCTGATCATTCTGTGATGAATAGTACCTTATTGTGGATTTAATTGGCATTTCCCTATGACAGTAGGCTTTGAACATTTTTTCATATGCCTTCTGGCCATTCGTTAGTCTTCCTTGGAGAGTTATCTATTCGGTTCATTTGCCCTTTTTATTTTTATTTTATTTTATTTTATTTTATTTATTTAGTTTTTGCCATACGGCTTATAGATTCCCTACAAGAAAGACAGAAAAGGAAAGTGAGAAATCACTCCTCAAGGGGATAGCCATACCACAGTCCTTTCTTTTGTCAGGATTTTGGGCACACAGACACATGTGCCCAGTGCAGTTCTTAAGCCCCTGGGTCTGGGATTCAGACCACAGTTGGTCATCTGGGAGTCCTGTGCTTTAACTACCATGCCACCTGCTGGCCCTTTGTATGCTTGTTTTTAAATTTGATTTTTTTAAATTGGTGAACTGCTTGCATTTCCTATATATTCTGGATATCAATTCCTTACCTAAGGGAAAATTTGCAAATATTTTCTCTCATTTGGAGTGTTGGCTTTGAACTCTATTGTTTTCTGTGTTGTGAAAAAGGTTTTTAGCTTTGTGTAATCCCACTTGTCTATTTTGGGAATTATCGCCTGTGCTTTGGAGGTCTTAAGGAATGTTTGTCTACTCCAGTGTCTTCAAGAGTTTCCCCTATCTTTCCTTCTTCTTTTCTTTTTTTTTAAAGAATTATTTATTTATTTATTTATTTATTTAGCCCTCACTTGAGAGGGACAGAGTGAGAGCGAAAGTGGGGGTGGTGGGGGGAGCAAGCCACCAGGTCCAGGACTCGAACTGTGGTCGGCCATGTGGGAGTCCAGCGCCCTTAACCACCACGCACCTGCCAGCCCCTTCCCTATGTTTTCTACTAGTAGTTTTATAGTTTAAGATTTTTAATTTAAATCTTTAATTCATTTTGAATTGATTCTTGTTAATGGTGAGAGAGAAGAGTCTAATTTCATTTTTCTGTACGTAGATATCCAGTTTTTTCAGCATCATTTTCTGATAAGACTTCGTTTTCTCTGCAGCATTGTCTCTTGTATCTTTTGTCAAAGATCATTTGGCTGGGGACCAGCAGTTAGCGTAATGGCTGTCACTGGATTCCCACGTAGTCGACCGTGGTTCGAGTCCCGGACCCAGCGGCTTAAACTCACGCTGGGTGCGTGTGAGTGCGTTCCTAAGTTTCCGAGAGGAGACTGGAGGAGAAGGGATTGTGGCATGACCATCCCCTCTGGTGGGTGATTTCTCACTTTCTGTCTCTCTGTCTCTCTCTGTCTGGTGAGTGCACGCTCCCTATAGCAAAAATCTCTCAAAAAAAAAAAAATGATCAGTTGACTGTATGATTTGGGATTTGTTTCTGAATTTTCTTCCTTTCCATTGGTCTGTGTGCCAGTGCCATGCTGTTTTGATTATCACTGCATTGTGTAATACATTATGAAGTTGAGTAATGAGATGCCTCCTATTTTATTAGTTTTACACAGTATTACCTTGGCAATATATAGTCTTTTATGATTTCAGACAAAGTTTATAATTGCATTTTCTATTTCTGAGAAGAATGTCATTGGCAATTAGATTGGAATTGCATTGAATATGTAAATTAATTTATTATTCGTATGTATGAATATAATGAATATAATACATTTCACACAATAGTCTATGGCTTCTTATTTTAGGAAAAAAAGATTATATTGATTGTTCCAATTCAAGAACATGGGATATTGTTCCATTTTTTCTGTCTCATACTCAATTTCTTTTTTCAGTTTTTCATAGCATTCCTTGTAGAGGTCTTTCACTTCTTTGATTAAGTTTATTCCTAGGGACCTTATTTGTTTTGTGGCTATTGTAAATGAAATTATTTTCCTCAATTCTGTCTTGGTCTGTTCATTATTGGTGTATAAAAACGCTATAGATTTTCATGTATTGATTTTGTATACTGTCACTTTGCTGAATTCATTTATCACTTCTAGGAGTTTTTTGTTGGATTCCTTTGGATTTTCTATGACTAATCATATCATCTGCAAATCAGGATAGTTTAGCTTCTTCTTTTCCTATCTTATTGTCTCTTATTCTTCTCTGATTGAGTTGGCCAGGGCTTCCAGCAATATGTTAAGAGAATTGGGAAAGTGAACAGTCTTGTCTTGTTCAACTTTTTAGTGAGAAGACTTTTACTTTTCCACATTCAATATGATGTTAGCAATGAGTCTGTAGTATGCAGCTTTTATTGTGTTGAGGAATGTTCCTTCCACCGCTGTTTTGCTGAGAGTCTTGATCATGAAGGGTTTTTGCATCAGTTTTTCCATAGAGCAAGTGTGGTCCTTGGGAAAGAGACAGAGAGGGAGATGACCACCCCACAGTCCCTTCTCTCTGATTCTTCTCTTGGGATTTTGGGCACATACACACGCATCCCACATGATTTTCCAGCTGTCACATACAGGACTCAGACTGTGGTTAGCCATGTGGGAATCTAGCACCTTAACAACTCTGCCACCTGCTGGCCCCCAATTTCTTATACTTCTGACATATCAGTTGTAATATTATCAGCTTCCTTACTCGTTTTTATCTATCCTCTCACTGCTTTTCTTGATTAGTCTAGCTAATGGTTTATCAGTTTTATCTTCTCAATAAACCAGCTATTTGTTTCATTGATTGTTTATAGTTCTTTTATTCTCTATTTATTTCATCTCTAATCTCTACTATTTCTTTTTCCCTTTTTTGGGGGGGGAGTGGAGTGGGGGTTTTGTTGTTGCTTGTCCAGTTTCTTGAAATGTTATTTTAAGTCTTTTATTTGCCACATTTCTTTTTTTTTTTTTCTTGTGAGCATTAACGGCTATGAACCTCTCTCTTTTCACTGCTTTTGCTGTGTCCCAGAGGTCATGGCGAGTAGTGTTTTCATTATTGTTGTTCTTAATGGATCTTTTGATTTTAATGTCTTCAGTAGTTTGAAAGTCATTCAGGAGTAGGTTGTTTAGTTTCCATGTTTTTGTGTATTTTCGAAGATTCTTTCTGTGGGTTACTTCAAGTTTAATTCCATTGTGACCAGAGAAGATACTGGGTATAGTTTCCGTATTTTAAAATTTATAGAGGCTTGTTTTGTACTTTTAAATTTATAGAGGCCTATTATGTGGTCAGTCTTTGCAAATTTTCCAGGTGGAGATGAGAAAAAAAGTGTATTTTGTAGTTACTGGTTGGAATGCTTTATATGTCTGTCAGGTCCATTTGGTTTATGGTGTCAGTTAGTTCTTGAGCCCCTTTGTTTATTTTCTGTCTAGTTGATCTGTCCTTGATGACAGTAGAGTGTTGAAATCTCTAACAATTAGTGTGTTGCATTCTTTATCTCCCTTTAGAGCTAGCAGTCTTTCTTTTACATATTTG